CTAGGATCTTGTTCTTTATCATGACCAAAGCCAAACCATTTCCTATGTTTCAAATCCCTCCACAGTCTGGAAACCCTCATCAGCTCTCGGTACCTGTCCTAATTGGAAATGAATGCATTAATAGAACCCCCTAAGAGCAAATAGTGCATGGCACTCAACTGGTATACAGTCAGGAAATGCATTGTTGGTGAACCTCTTCAGCTTCTGATAGAAACTCATAGCTGAAGTCTTGCATTCCAGGGCATCAATGAGAAAGTGATTAAGAACATCAAAGGTGAAAGCAGTCTTGGGCTTTGTTATACTGGCTGGAAAGAGTCTTTCCCTGAGTAAATCAAGGTGCCAGTCGATTGGATCTGACCCAGGGCAATTGCACCAAGAAATCTCATGAGTGAAAATTCCTTCTGTGTGCACTATGGTCATTTTTGATCTGAAGGATCTCCTGCTACCAGAGGTTAACATGGAGGCTACAGGATATGACTGCCATTGACCTGTAATTGGGAGGCCCTTCCCCAGAAGTATAGCCCAACTCCTCTGAGTCTGGATCCTGATTCTGTCTGTTTTGAGGGCAAGGACGACCCCCATGGCCAATGTGCCAAAGGAACCCAAGTGCCATCAAAGAGGTATCCTGGTAATGAGTAGCATTCCATCTTTGTACCTTGTGGAATGGAAGATTTTGATGCACTTTCACAGCACAAGGACCACACCAGGCATGCACACCAATGCAGGACATGCATCTGATACTTCCTTCTGCCTGACAGCACTGCTCACATATCCCCCCCTTAGCCAGCTGCTCTCCCTCAAGAATGACTTTGAGATATTCTGCTCTCCAAGGCAGCCATTCTCTGATGAAATCATTTTGACTCTAGGGGATAATTTAGCCAATGCAGTATCAGGCAAAACTTCCCACCTTGGTAACCCTCCTAGTATTTGGGGTATCTTCCTCATCATTCCAGTCCAAGGTAGGCATGTCAAAGGAGTCTGGGACAACATTTTGGGAGCCTATTGTCCTGGGGGTCCTTGGAGTTGAAGGTTGACTCTGAGATGGGAGGTAGAGGTGTCTAGCATCCACCTCCTTGTAGGTGTCCTTTCCTCTCCGGGTTTTAGTGACTTCAAATTTATACAAACCTCCTGCAGAGCTTTTGCCAAGGACTTTGGTTCTACAACAATGCATGATTGAGCACAGGAAGAGTCAAAAGCAAGGTTTTCAGCTGTATTGAAAATTTTTCATCCCCAAAACAACACCACACAAGTCCAGAACAAGGTTATCAAATGTATTTAAAATATTTGTACCCAAAAATTGCCACTAAAATGTGTTTTAAGTGTATCTGACAGCCAACCCAAGAATGTCCTTTTGGGTAGTCCATGCTGGTCTTGTGACCTTGAGTCGGTCATGTACTTTGTCCTTCATATAATGCACCAATGCAATTCTTTCTCCCTTCTCCCACTTTGGCACAGAATGTTGAAGGATTTTTCCTGATAGGAAAATCATGGTGCCTGGGGAATAAGCCAGTTTGGCCCCCAGATCTGGAATAAGGAATTTAGCATTGTGAGAACCCAGGCTCACTAATGAATCCAGAAGGGTTGGGGTGGATGTGACATCTCGGTGAGAGGGAGTTTCCTGATTGACAATAATATCAATGTTGGTATAGACCTGATGGCCAATCCAGGGATATCTCATTCTCCACCCTGCCAGCCTTGGCCAACATTGCTTGATCACCAGCCCTGGCCATATCTGGCAATGAGACCTTTGCTATATTGCTCCAGAAGTGTTCCACATAAGAAATCTTGAGCAGCCATTCCCTATTGGCTTTCTGTTTGAGGGATGTGCTTTGATAGAGTGTATCAACCAACCTCTTTAAATTTGTCAGCCCCTACCATGGAAATCACAGCACCTGGACAAACCTCATGAGCCTGTTGGAATGTGGCAGGAGACATGGAAATCCTGCCATGTCCATACATGACTTGGTCAACAGGCTGATGCTTATGGCCATATCGTTTGTTAAGCTTGCTTTTGTCTTTTGGCTTGTTCTTGGGCTCAGTCTGAAGATTGTCTTTTATGGAAAGGAGAAGGGAATTGAGAAGTTCCTATGATATAAAAGCTGTAGTGAAGGGTTGTCAGAGAATGAAAACACTCACTATCCAGTGCATCTGGGACAATACCAGGCAGATACCATACTATCACCCTGCCATGCACATCCAGAACTGTGGCAGGAGCATTGATATACCCAATTTTTGGGTTTTCAAAATGGATGGTCCTGTCCTTGGCATGCACCAATGGTTCAGAAAACCTGTCTGCATCCCAATGCAACACATCTATTAAGGGTCAGACTTGGATCACTTGCAATTGTTGTGGAAATCACCTACAGGGATTGAGGATGGCATGTGTAATGACTGCAGATGCCAGCCTAACTTCCAAAGATGTAATAGCATCTGAAGTTAGACCAGATTCCCCTTGCAATGTTGCCCTGACTTGGGTTAACTCAGCCAAGGATCGAAGTCTATTATCCAACTAAATACATAGCAAGTGTAGCATCACTGCTTATGGCTTACCTTGGCTTCCTGAGCTGGTGATTTGAGAAAATAGAGCTGGAAGAGATCATAGGGACTGTTCCAAAGGCAGCCTTCAGCATTCCAACCACCATTGTATGCAGGGAATCATCCATGATGATGTGGGGGGTGTTGGAAAAGTCAAAGGAAAAATTTTTCAACCTGTGAGAAAAATAGTTAAAAATCACTCAGTACATAAGTTGGAAGTTATTCTCCACAAGGGACCTTGCTTGACTTGGGGGAAGATCCAGAATCCAGAAACCCAACTTAGTCTACTAGATACACCATGTTTCTTGAAACATCTAGTCATGTAAGCAGGGGCCTGGAATGGTGGAATCAAACTCAGCAGCAGTTGAACTCCAAGTCAATCCAGTCCAGCAATCTCTTGAGCATCATGGGAAACCATGGAACACCAATACTAATCTAGCAATCTAGCAACATCCAACAGCTAGGAACACATCCAGTCAGCATTTGAAGGGAAGATGTTGGGTTGCTAGTAATGCCATTGGCAAGCTCTTGAGCATCAAAGGGAAACCTTGCTTAAGAAGATCAGCCATGGAACACCAGTGCTAATCTAGCACCATCCACCAGCCAGGCAGACTGACATGAAACAATACACCAAGTCATTTGCTAAGGTTAGGGTTAGAAGGAGACTTGCATGAAGAAATACACCAAGTCTTATGCTAGGGTTAGGGTTAGCACATGCTTCATTCAAAAAAAGAAGCATAGATTCCCACACAGCATTCAAATCCAATCAAAGCAGTGACATTTACAAGGTCATACATAAATTCAACTACAGTTACAATTTCAACTACAAAGGTATAATGGTTTCATAAGAAACCAAGGCTTGCCTGCATTCCAGAGGGGGCCCTCCTCCAGAAGTACAGTTGGGCCAATAAAAACCATCCTCAATTCAACCAAGTTCCCAAAAAAGCACACAAAAGCTGATAACAAAGATACTAAAAACACATTAGCATCAACACAACTTTGCAAAGTTCACATACCTGAGGTGCACTATTTATTCACCAGGAGTCAAAGACAAACAGCTCTAGAAAGTTTATGTCAGTACAACATAGATTATACAGAAGTTGAATACTCACTACACCAAAGCCTGACCAACTAGCTACTACCAATATATACCAACACATACCACACAAAAAAACATCATAGGCTGACCCACACAGGTGGGTACAGACCAAATAAAACATCATAAGCTGACCTACAATGTAGGTACAGACTAGCCCCCAGATCCCATATGAGCTGGCCTACAATGTAGGCACAGACTATTCCCCCAGACCCAACATATTACCCAACAACCAAAAATTGTGCTGGCCAAGCACAATCTAAGGTCAAGGGCAGCCCCTCCCTACATCCTGTAGCTGCAGACTACAGTCAATAGTGAGGCACCAAGGATGCTGCAAAGTAATGGTAATCAAGTAATGTGAAAATTCTGGGATCAGAGGTGCCACTTACCTTATGACAGCCAAGACGATGGGCTGAGATAAAAATGAAGATGACGTAGCACACAAAACGGGAGAGAGAGAGGGGGAAAGGGAGATGGAGATGGAGGGAGAGGGAGGATGATGGAGGGGAAGTGTCACATCACAGGGAAATGCAGTAAGGGAAAAACATGCCACTGACTGGGGGGGATTTATATACTTGAGTCTTATGTACTGTTGTTTGGCCACAGTCCAAATAGTGAGGTCGCTGTCAATGTCACATTCTCAGCCTCGGTGCATGTTCAGTTGCCATGAGTGCCGGCAACTTCCTCTGAGTCAGTACTGCGTGTCGTACTATACATTGCGAATAGCGATGTCACGTGACTCCACTGTCACCGGATTCAGCTTCTATATACTAAATACTAAATGTTCACTTGACATTCTCGTAATTGCATTGTTGAGCCAAGCAAGCACTCCCTCATGTCATTGGCTGAGCGGTAGTGGTGGCTTACCCTTGGGATTTCACAGAAAATGTATTGTAGTAGCACTACCAGATCATTTAATACATGTAGTCACTTATTGAAACCAGAAATCGGCCTAGTGGCAACTGACCACTCTGTATATAGTCCTACGTAATGTTCCAGAGACGCATCCGAAGTACAGGTAGACATGTGTGATAATCATGACAGCTGTGACGTTGTTCATGTCACAATTAAGGTTGTGTCCAAGATTATCATAGGTCTCACTACGTGACCTGTCCAAAATCGAGATCTGTGCATCCAAGTATCCAGATTGACATGGTCTTTTGCTCCTCTCCTCTTGCCACACAGTGTCTCCCTCACCAACCATTGTTGCATTATCCCACTCTCTGGCCCTGCTGCATCTCAGTGAAATTTTTGGTACGTCGTCATCCTCTGGATCTCTCACGCCTCTCCCTCTCTAAACACAAAATAGGTACGTTGTGCCACATCTCCCTTCAAAAAAAAACAAAAAAGGTATGTTGTCGAACCTCTCATGGCTTCAACACTCACATCACACACCAGGACGCTGCCATTCTTCTCAGTCTATTGTGCATTGTTCAGTGTCCCATACTACTCACAAAGCCCATTCATTCAAAAAGAAGGTAAGTAGCTCGCAGCATCCCTCTACAACTCACAAAACACCCCCCCCCTCTTGCCAGGTCTCATCCAAAAAACAGGTATGTCATCCCAGTGTGTGGCATCTCTCTACCACTCACAGAACACCCTCTTGCCTTGTCTCATCCACAAAACAGGTATGTCATCCTACTTCCCAGCATCCCTCTACCACTCACAAAACACCCCCTTGCCATGCTTATCCAAAAAAAAGGTATGTTGTCCCAACTTCATGGCGTCCCTCTACAACTCACAGAACACCCCCTCGCTGTGCCTTATCAAAAAAACAAAAGGTAAGTCATCCCAGATCATGGCATCCCTCTACCACTCACAGAACACCCCCTCGCCATGCTCATCCAAAAAAAAGGTGTGTTGTCCCAGCTTCACAGCATCCCTCTACAACTCACAGAACACCCCCTCACCGTGCCTTATCAAAAAAAAAAGGTATGTCATCCCAGGTCGTGGCATCCCTCTACCACTCACAGAACACCCCCTTGCTGTGTCTCATCCTACAAAAGGTATGTTGTCCCAGTTCCTGGTGTCCCTGTACCACTCACAAAACACACTAGTAGACTATCAATTCATATCTCCCTCCTGCCACACTGCATCTCCCTTGCTGTGTCTCATCCAATAAGGTATGTTGTTGGACTTCTACTTCATGGTGTCCAGATGATACTTACATATCACCCTCTTTGGTCTGCTTATCCAGTGCCCAGTGTTGTGTAGTTGCATACATTGGCTTCTCTTTTCCATAAATATGTAGATATCTATCCCTGCTGCATGATATATGTACTAAACTAAATGCATTTATTGTTATCTTACTGCTTGTCCCCTACACCTTCTGTGTCTTGTAAAGATAATAAGGTATGCTACTGTTCCCTTCTGTGTCATATGTTGCTGCCACTCACTAATGTTGGCATAATAGACTCAGATGGTGAAGACCAAGCAGACAGCTAAGAAGACCACTGGGGGTAGAGCTCCCAGGGTATCTCTTGCTGGTCTGAAAGCTAGGGAAAAACATGCTGCCAAGTCAAGCAAGGCCCATGCTAGGAAGGCCCCTGTTGCCAAGAAGAGAAGGATGAGGAACTTGGCAAGTCTCTTTTTATATTCCATCCATCTTTCTAACATTCTATGCAGTTCTGTGTGATGTGCAGGGATGGAGGGACATTGTGGCCTTGTGATCAGGCAGGTTGCAGAAGGGTAGTGTGTAACAAGTGTGTTGTAGTACCTGAGGATTGCCTTGCAGAGGTCACCCAGCTTCCTGTGACCTTCAGGTGTGTTAACCTCCCTTTTATGAATTAATTCCATTGACTCAAACTCTGGATGAACTTCAGGTGTGTTTCCTGTCATTGGAAAATGACAAGATTTGAAAGTCCTCAGCCCTATTTTGTAAGTGCATATTGCCACCCCAATCACTTCTAACTCCAAGTACAGGGCTTCTACTTGTCAGGCAAGCCAGTCCTGAAACACCCTCTTGTGGTCATTGGGGGGTTTGAACATGCCACCACCTCTGAAGTGGCTGGTAACTCTACTGCCATTATCCACCTCCACCTTGAGTCTCTAGAGCTTGGCCATGCCCCTGTGCATATCCTTCACACCATGTTGCAGGGATATTTCAGACAAGACACCTACCACTTCTCACAACTGCCCTTCAACTTTGCCACTGAGGAGTCCAGAGCTGCCTATGACACTGCAGCATCAAAGCTAGCTTCAAGTCTGACTACCTTTGCTAAGGCAGTCATTTTCCTTACTACCCATACTGATGAAGACAGGGGGGATCTGTTCTCTGGAATGGAGAATAAGGTTCCAATAGCCACAGAGGTCTTTGAGGTAAGTCACCATTGTTTGACTGTCACTCCCATCTGACCAGTTGCAGTTTCTGCAAGGCCTTCTGTTACCCCTCTCCAACATTGTCAAGGGTGGAGACCTCATCTTCTTTGTATGTGGTTCTACTGTAAGGAAGGAGCAGAGCTTCCAAGGACTGAAGGCAGCTGTGCAACAGTAGGTTTTCTTTCAATGTTGGTGGTTATGGCTGACACCATATCAGTTTCAAGCCAAGGTCCATGTTGCTTTTTAATGCTGAGAGACTTCAACTAGTCACCACCATTCCCTTCCTCATGAGTGTCCTTGACTCCACCCTTGTTCAAGGCTTCCATGTCCAAAGTGCAGTCAGGTATGCCCTGAATGACTGTGGTATGTTGGGTAGGCACTCCAACATCATCCTGATGTTGTGGCAGGAGAAGGTAGTGGTGGAGAAATTTGTCTGGACTGACAAGTTCATCAGGCCTTGGGGACAACAATTGCCTGCCCAGTGCCCTCAGTGTTATAGCATTCAGAAGTGGGAAGCTGGTTGTTCAGGGCAGACTTATTCCTATGAGTGCAAGAATCCTGGCTGTGGGAAGGACACACAAGGCACATCTCAGCCTCCCCAAACCTATACTATCTGCATGTCCAAAGGGGCTACCAAACTGACACAGGGAAAGGGGCAAACATCATCCTGGCTGTTGGAATCTTTGTAAAATACCCTACCTTGATACATATGATATGCATGTACTACAATCAAAAATAGCTGCTTTGTGTTTTCAAATTTCATATGACATTGAATGTTCAGAAAAAAAGTAATTTCCTGCAGGACAATTCCTCCTTAAGTACTGATACACAACTGAGTAAATTTTCCCAATGTTAATTCCAATACAATGGCCAGATTGGTAGAGTTAACTTCAATACCACAGGATAAGGATAGGATATAGGATCTTTCCACAACCATGTGGGTTCAGCCAGCTAACTACCAAGGAAGTAGTGTACTGAGTAATAAGATTGGCCAGCCCCACTAACCCACTAGCAAGATATTGGTCTTTCTTGCAAAGTGTCTGCCCAACCACAACTCCAGGTCATGGTTCATTCCCCCCAGCCACATCAGCTGACCCCACTGCCAGGACATCATCCCTTCCCCCAGCCATGTCAGCTGGCCCCACTTCCAGGTCACTAATCTATCCCATAGCTGGTTTGGCCAACCCCACTTCCAGGTCACTAACCTATCCCATAGCTGTGTTGGCCAACCCCACTTCCAGGTCACTAATCTATCCCATAGCTGTGTTGGCTGACCCCACTTCTAGGTCACTAATTCATCACATAGCTGGGTCGGCTGACCCCACTTCTAGGACACTAATCTATCCCATAGCTGTGTCAGCTGACCCCACTTCCAGGACACTAACCTATCCCATAGCTGTATCGGCCAACCCCACTTCTAGGACACTAATTCATCCCATAGCTGTGTCAGCCAACCCCACTTCCAGGACACTAACCTATCCCATAGCTGTGTCAGCTGACCCCACTTCTAGGACACTAATCTATCTCATAGCTGTGTTGGCCGACCCCACTTCTAGGACACTAATCTATCTCATAGCTGTGTCGGCCGACCCCACTTCTAGGACACTAATCTATCTCATAGCTGTGTCGGCCGACCCCACTTCTAGGACACTAATCTATCTCATAGCTGCATTGGCCGACCCCACTTCTAGGGCACTAATTCATCCCATAGCTGTGTCGGCTGACCCCACTTCCAGGACACTAACCTATCCCATAGCTGCATCAGCCAACCCCACTTCTAGGACACTAATCTATCTCATAGCTGTGTTGGCTGGCCTCACTTCTAGGACACTAATCTATCTCATAGCTGTGTCAGCCAACCCCACTTCTAGGGCACTAATTCATCCCATAGCTGTGTTGGCTGACCCCACTTCCAGGACACTAACCTATCCCATAGCTGCATCAGCTGACCCCACTTCTAGGACACTAATCTATCTCATAGCTGTGTCGGCCAACCCCACTTCTAGGGCACTAATTCATCCCATAGCTGTGTTGGCCGACCCCACTTCCAGGACACTAACCTATCCCATAGCTGCATTGGCTGACCCCACTTCTAGGACACTAATCTATCTCATAGCTGTGTCGACTGACCCCACTTCTAGGACACTAATTCATCCCATAGCTGTGTTGGCTGACCCCACTTCCAGGACACTAATTCATCCCATAGCTGCATCAGCTGACCTCACTTCCAGGTCATCAATCCATCCTATAGTCATGTCAGCTGACCCCACTTCCAGGGAAGTTGATCCATCATCCTGTGACATAGGCTGACCCCACCTTCACGGTCTGGCCTACCCAACCCTAGGGACCACCAGCTGATGTCGGTTAGTCCCAGTTTCAGGACGAAATGTACATGTCAGATGACCCACTTTTAGGACTACAAGTGACTGAATCATGTGCCACTGGTACTACCACATCCTGAGGTACTGTAGCATATTTGTGACAGTACTTCTTCTTTTCTTCTTGTAGCACCAGCTCTCATTCTCTCTCGCATTTGGCCTGCTGCCTCTCTTGTTCTTCCTTGTCAAGCCTTGCTCTTTCAGTGGCTTCTTGTTGCTCTTGGTGGGCTTGGCAGTCCCATTCCTCTTTTTCTAGGTCGTTGTTCAATGTCCAGTAGAGGGCTAGTTGGGCTGCTGCTGCCTTGTGGTTGACATCATCATTTATGAGGCATTCTCTGGCCTGATGATATTTCTCAGAGGAGAAATCAGGTTGTTCTGCAAAATGAGGGTTGTGCGTCAGTTTGGGCATAGCAAAGAACAAACAAGAGACTAGAATGCAGCTCAGCTGAGCCTTGAGGGGTGAGTGAGAGTATGAAGGAGAGAGACAACCGGCTAACTGTATTCCCACACGTAGACTATATTCTCTGTACACTACATGCCTCCACTACTGAGAATTGCCATGTAGTTAGTTTTTTTTTAAACAATAGACGAGTTACCACAGACAAGAGATGAAATCGAGCAGGTCGTTTCCCTGCACCCAGACTGCCATAGAAGCCCTCAGACGTCCCATCCATCCAGTTCCAGGCTATAGAAGCCCCTTTTGGCCTACTCACTCCCATCAGATATCTCTACTCTCCTACTTCTCTCCTGGTTCAACCTTATTTTCCTACAACTGGAGCCCACCGCGAGGGGCTTCTGTCTTAGCCTGGCACCCATCCAAACCTTCCCAGATTTTATTTTGCAGTCTCCAGCTTCATTTTCGCAATTTTCATGCTCGGTTTAGCAGATTTCACCTTTCAGTCTCATTTTTGCAGTCACTTCGCTCGCATTTTCGTGTTTTCCCACTCGCGCGCACTCACTTATCAAGCATTCACACTCATATAAACTCCTGAAGTCATGTTCGGCCTCAAGATTCTGTGTCGAGGCTCGCCCAAAGCACCAAGCTTCTCTGGGCGCCCCAAGGACCTTCGAAGCTATTTTGATGACATAATTGACTTCTGTGATGGGTTCGGCCTCTCGGACGGGCTCGTGTGCATCAAATTCGCGCTCAAATATGCGCCTTTTGAGTCAGCTGACCTCTGGTCCCACTTCGTCAGTAGTAGCAAAGGAGATTGGGCTCGTTTTACCTCGGAAGTCACTCAGCAGCACCCAGAATTGGACGAAACAAGTCGAAGTCATGCCACCGAGCTTGCCGGCCTAAAGGTTGGATTTGCGAGTTCAGATGTTGTCTCAATGTCATCCCTAGGGCAATATTATCACAATTTCTGTCGAATTTCGTTATCTCTCGAGAACCTACTGGGTCCATTGCCCCACCTAGCCAGTATGTTCAAGTATGGGTTCCCTCCAGAGTTCAGGCGAGAGGTGCTCGGACACCACAATGCATCAGAGTATTCTGTGCTCAGTCTAATGTCTACAGCTAAGGAGGTCCTGAGGTCGAGCGGCGGCCTCTGGAAGAGCAGCAAGGTCGACAGTTCATGCACGCAGCCACCACATGCCTCAGACAATCATTCCCCCCGTCGTTCATATTTGTTCTGCTTCTTCTGTGGACTTTCAGGCCATATTCAGGCAGGTTGCCATTCGTTCAAGTCATATTTAGCTTCGGGAAAGTGTCTACTCGTAAACGGCTGCATTTTTCTACCTACTGGACTGGAAATCCCGCATGAAGTTGCTGGACGAACTCTGCGAGACCGTCTCGACAGCTGGTCTTCGTTGACAAGCGAGTTCGAGGCTCGTACGGGCCCATCGCCTGCTCGCTCGCTTTCACCCACAGCCCCACCCTCTCGAAGCGTGTTCGACACACCATCGCGCATACCCGCTCAGACGAGCATTGTGTCTACTCGGTCCCTACCTACTGTCCAGCTCGAGCCAGCAGTACCAGACCCACCAGCCGTTCCGTCTCGTCGCTCGTCAGCCGAGCGCTCTCGTAGCTCACTGCACACGCAGCCACAGTCGAGGTGGCCATGTGGCCGAGGCTGATTGCCCTCGCATCCTCGTTCACGCTCGCGCTCGCAGACTCGAATGGGTTCGTACACACGTTCGAAAGATGATTTCATACCAGTCCAGTTGTTTGCCCGCAGCTTGATACAGCATCACACCCCAACGCACTCATATTCATATTCGACCAATAGCTCACCCCCTTCTTCCTCGTCATCGTTGTCCTCACGCTCGCGCTCTCGTTCACGTTCGAGGAAGGCGGATTCATACATCCATTCCAAGCCGAAGCGGTCGCACAGCCGCAGTCACATGCCCCGGCGCTCTCGAAGAGCGCGTTAACACTGCATGTCACACCAATTCTGTTATGTTTTTTTTTCGTTTCTTTTTGCTCATGGATCTTACAATATCTAGTATGGATTTACCTACTCATTATGCGGAGTTTTCGGTACCTTATACATGTTTAGTTTTTCTTTTCTTGTGTTCTGTGTTTTACCCCCCAGGCTCTAGTCCCCCACGGGAGGATTGTAGTCCGCGACGAATGCTCCATGTTGATATCAGGATTGTTCTGATAGGTCCAGTAGCTCTGGAGATATTTGCATTTTTGTGCGAAGGCCCATCCTCGAGGTCTTGCCATAGTCGCTCACGCAGTTCTGCGTCTCTCCTCTCGCTTTTCGGGTCGTTCATCCTGCTCGCTGAACCCTTCCTGGGGCCATCTACCTTGTAAAATTCCGTGCAACCGTTATCAAGATATCCGCGTTTTCGTATCCAGAGGGCTTCGAGATGGTTTTGCGTAT